ACTAATGCAGTGATGAATTTTTGGTTGCCTAGAGTTTGAAATATCCTGTTTGACACATCATTAGACAAGCAGTCAACTTAATGAATGTTGTTTTTTTTTGATTGGCCTAAGTGTTCGTTTTTCTCTTTGTCCTTTTTTGGTTGGATTGGGTTTCTTTGGGTTGGGGGGTGGGGTTTTGTGTGTGTGTGTGTGCATTGTGGGTTGTTGGGCTTTTTGTATTGTGGTTTGTTGATTTATTTTTTTCTTAACTTCTGATTTAACTGCATATCACCTTTCATGTTCTTCAAGTTATTTTCTGGAAATTTAAGGCAAGCCCCTCTAAATCAACCCCTCTATGCTTTCTTAAGTACAAACCAGAAAGCTGCAGTATGTAATTTTAACAAATACCCATGTTATGAACCAATATTAAATGCAACTGTGAATTAAGGCCTGTGTAGGACAATCTTCTGTCATTCTGGTTGGAGTGATCTTCTGTCACTGTGTTTAAGTCAGCTGTTACTATCATTAAAAGGAAGGCCTGGCTATTTCCCACTTAAACTGAAAAAATGCAGTAGTGCCACAGGGAGTATGGTCTGACAAATGGGAAGAAACTGGTGCAGATGCCTGCATTATTTGGTACCTTGCAAGAAGGCAGCTTGGTAGGCACCAGGCTATCATCTCTTAACAGAATTTTCTGGGACCTGAAAACTTCTGTTTCCTTGTTCATGCATATTTAGTTGAGATACCCTTTTCAGCCTTTAAAGTTTCTTCATTCTTTATGTGGCTTCTGTAATCTTTTAAATAGCTGGTAGAGGGGAGTTGTTAGAGGGAAATTTTTTTAGCAGCTTTTCTGTCAAGAAAAGAAAGATACTTCTGGTTTTATTATAGGATCATAGTCCTGCATTTGTTCTCACATGTCAAAGTTTTGAGTCCTCACTTGAAACATAAGCCACATTTTCTATCTTAGTTGTGATCATATTGCTGCAAAACAAGCGGGTTAGTTAGCTTTTTTATTAGCATTTTTTTCTTTAAAATACTGCTTTGTGGTTTTTTGTTAGCTTTCTGATAAATGTATAGTGAAAGAGAAGGGAGGAGATAAAAAATGAGGCTGTTTCACCAGTAAAACTGAATCTTGCTAGCAACCTATTGTGAAACTGGCAGAGAGCAACATGCTGAATTTGTGTTAGAGCAGATCTGTCTGTTGCAGTGGTGGGTACTGTTGTTTTATTTCTGTTGATCCCTGGTTTCCAAAACTGTTGCAGAATTGTGCATGTATTGCTCCTTGTCTGTGTTACATTGCTGTTGTCCTCTAGCCAGTGGCATTGGTATTTACTCTTTTAACAGTGTTCTAGTCTGTAAAATGCTGAGTGACTAATCATCCCTGTGGAGAGGTAGGAACTATCACACTTTATATTTGGAAACTGGGACACAGAAACGGTGACATGCTGGAGCTGCGCCGGAAACCTCTGGCAGTGACAGAGACTGCTGGTCACGGTTGTAATTCAAGACTAATCCTTTCCGATAGGTGCATGGCGTGACACTCCTCACCAAATTTGGGTTATTGTTTCTGTGTAGTCTTTCGCATTTGCTGCTTGGGAGTTTTGTTTTGGTTTTTCTTTAAAGCCACCTCTGAAGTGAAAAACTGTAACAACTGATTCCAGGAAAATGTGGGTTCTATTTTGAGGATTTTAAAGGAAATTTGGGGTGTAGCTTAATACCCCTTGAGAAAGGGAAAGCACTACTGAAACCATGTTAACAAAAAGAAGCAAAGTTGGAAAAGTAGGTACGGTAGAAGGAATAGGAGAAGCAGAAAGCTCTTATATGTAAAAATATTAGATTCAGTATTTATTTGTTGTAGAATCGTTACTCTTGCTAAGCTGAGAAAGAAAGTAGGTTTGTATTTATATTGCTGAGTGGGAAACTTTAAAAAAAAAAAAAAAAGCCCCTTCCTTTCCTTGCACAAAATGCTTCATCTGCACTCCAGATCTCACAGCCCACGTGCCTCTGCTTGTTCAATTTCCAGTTATTCCAGTTTGCCTGTTGTGTTCAGTAGAGTTGTAGATTCAGAAGGAGGTGCTTTTTAAAGTTACTCGGAACTTTCCACTCCCTTGTTGTAAAAAGCCTCCCCTTTTTATGTAGATGAGAAGTGTCACTCAACAGAGAGATGGAGTAGGTCCGGTGTTACCGTGATCCAGGGTTTGCTTCATGTTTGCCCAAGTTCTTCCGCAGCCCTTCGCGCTCAGCTGAAGCAAACAGCTTTACTACAGACTTCTCTGACCACAGTACCCTGAGAAGCAAAAACGAGAGTGTGTGCCACCTCAGCTTTTTCTTTACAGATTCAGTGGGTGAATTACTTGCTCTGTGGGTGAAATGCCAACTGGTATATCATTTGTTCCCAGAATTATCTGTATATTGAGCTGCTTTGATTAGCACAGTTAGGGTGGTTTTTTTTTTACTGAGGTGTTTTAGACTAGACAAAACTTTAGTCCTTTCGTTAATGAAGGTCACTGCTACCTTGTTATCTTGAACAGTTCAAGTAGTTAAAAGGAGTATAGACATAAATTTTGAAATGATTGGAGCCTGGAATATTGAAACTCATTTGTTTCAGCTTTTGAATTTTTTTTAGTATTACCAAAGGGTTTTTTGCACAAATGTGTCACTGGAACTTACTAAATTTAATTTATGTCTTACATCTGCAATTACTTTTCCTGGTTGAATTATTGATGTTGAATTACTAATTTTCCTGCTGTGGTAAAGTACCTATTTTTATCTTGAGTACTGAATTATTGTTTCTCTGAGGATAGTAGTACCTTTTGAAGACCTCTCTAGTCTAATGCACATATCTCTGACAGTCCACTTTATGCTAATCTTTTCTCATCCTTGTCTTCATGCTACTCAATTTCATAATTTTCATAAATGGCATGAAGAGTCTTCATAGTTCTTAGTCCCTGTGAGAGTTTAAAAAAACCCTCGAGGATGTAAATGTACTTCTACTGTTAAATCCAGTAATGACTGTACAACTGCATTAAAATAATAGCATTTGTGTCTTTCTGCTTATTCTGTTGCTACAGCTTACTTCAAGGGACATGATATCTTTTTTCCTCTCAGATTTTGGAAATGATTGATCATTCTTAGAACTGGAAAATACATTTTGATGACAAATAAGCCTGATTAACAAAACCTCCTATATTTGTTAAACAGAAGAAAAAATGCCCTGAAAATTTAAAAAACCCCTTTCTGTCAGAAGCTTCTTCTACATTTATGGTTTGCCTTTACATGGATAACATAAATCTAAGTTACCAAATTTTTCTGGAGGATAATGAACAACATATGCACCTAAGAAGTGATACTAAATGGCAGAAAGAAATCTGTCATCAAGGCCCCCAGTAATATTTGGAGAGTGTAGCAAAATGCATTCTAAATGCATGTACTGTGATGATCTGGAAAGAGCTGTTTCCCACACTTCTACGAACAGCAGCAGTGAAATGAGCTGTGCTATTATTAACTTCATTGTGCCATTGCTTATCAAAACTGATACGGTTTCATTTTGTACAACAGTCTGATGCCAGTGCAAAATAGGAATATTAACTGGAAAATTCATCAGAATTAATACGTGTAGGGAGGGGAAACTTGGGGATTAAATTTTCTTGGTGTTTGGAGGGAAGGGGATTGTTTTGCGCTTTGGGTGATGTGATTTTGTTGTTTGGTGGGGGATGGTTGGTTGTGATTGGGGGTTTTTTTAGTGTCTGGACTTGCACATGTTGAAGTGGTGTTATTCTTTCTGTGTTTGCAGGAGCTATCATCTTACCAAAGAACAAGGTGTTTTATGTTACAGGCAACACCTTACAAGAAACATAAGTTGGGGTTTTTTTCCTTATTTTGTGTTGGCTTATACTGAGTAAATTTTTATGGAATGCAGAATTTGTGAAACTTAAAGGGTGTCCATTAGGATCTTCCCAGGCAAGAGTTAGCTGTCTGGTCCAAATATGCATAGGTGTATGCCTGGCTTCCTTAAATGTCTGACAGAGTTCTTGGTTGAATGGCTTGTACAGACTTCCAGGAAAAAAAAAAAACAAAAAACAACTTGTGTGAAACTGTTAATGTATGAAAGAGGGGCTGAATATTTTGCCTTTTCTCAAGACTTCTGGGTAACTTGACAAGTGCAGATTTATCTATCGAAGCTCTTGAAGCCCTTTTTAGAGTCAAGGGAGAGCAGGGGAGAAAGAAGGTGGTTGTTACATGCTTTAACTGGAAGTGTAAATTTAATTCTAAGACACTGTCCAAACAAATGACTTGTGGAGCATTAAAACAATTTAATGGAGAGCTTCTTTGTTTTCTCACAGCAATATTGTTACTGCACAAGGAATCTTCCATCTGAAATGTCTGTTTCCATTCCTCTGTAGTGGGGGAGGGAGAGAAGTGTTTCTGCAGTTCAGTAATTTTTAATTTTAAAGGCATAATTGTCTTAAATGCAAAGTTTAAAATAAAAAAATACAGATATTTTGCCTGATTACAGCACTTGTGAGCCTCTTGAATTTTCCTGTCTGTTTTGATCTTTATGAGGTAGATCCCTGATTCAGGTAGTGGATAAAGTGAAACCAAATTTGTGGGTTTTTTTCTTGCCATTCTTAGTTCTAATGTCACATGTTACATACAGAGTGCTTCCTGTTTCATGAAGACTCATCAACAGGTTTCTCTCCTTCCACTTCAGGCTTCTCTAGACTGAGTCCTTGTAAATCTCAATCAAAAAGTAATTAAACTTTGCCAGTTTAAGGCTGTGTCCTTCCTTCAGCTGGAGTGTTTTCACAGTAATGACATACATGAATTGGGAAAAGCATAGTCATTGTAGTCATAGGTGGCTTTGGTGCTCCTTTGTTATAAACATTTTTGATACTGATATAGTGGTTCTTAGAGTTGTTAATGGCACATTCTTCTGTGTTTGTATATGGAAAAACTGTTTAAGGGTTTTGCTAGGCATGAAGTGAAAATTACTATTTTTGTTTGGTTTTGTTTTCTTAAAGGAACTTAGTGACTTAGCCCGTGATCCTCCAGCACAGTGTTCAGCAGGTCCCGTTGGAGATGACAGTAAGTGACTTCAAGTTTTATGTTTTGTTCTGCTGACTCGAAGCATATCATGCCTAGATAATAATGCGGAGTTTTTCTTTTGTAGTGTTTCATTGGCAAGCCACAATTATGGGACCCGTAAGTATTCCGATTCTTGTGATGTAAATATTAAATGAGTAGCTCTTACTGAGGAGAAAACTCTGGGGTTTTGGTTTACTTTTGTTAGCTTCTCTTATCTGACTTAAGTTCTAGAGGTCTTCATTACAGTAAAGGAAAATGAGGGAGGGGAAAAAACCCATCAGTTATTTTGTTGTTGCGGTGTTTTTTACAAGGATGTGTATTTCAGCTGAAATAATCTCTAGAGCAATGTTAGCTATTATTACTAAATATGTAGAAACTTTGTTTGCATTTAACTTTTTCTAAAGTTTTAATCTAGCATGAACTTTGTAGTAGGACCTGGTACTACTGTCAGGAATTAGTTGGGATGTTTTTGTGTGGATCTTAGAAGGGAATCCATATTTGGTCTGGTGTAATGCTGAGATCTTGAATACTTGAAAGAATAGAAGAGGGAATAATCACTGAAATGTGAGGTTTCAGTTATGACTGGAAAAAAAAGTCAGTATTGAATGTTCAGTAAGCATCTGAAACCTGAATGGGACTTTTTCCTCATTAAGGAAGCCAAATGTTTGCTTTTGTTGAAAGCGTCCTGGAAGCAGTTCATATCTGGAGTCTTCTGGTTACCGGTATTTAAAAGTCAAAACCTGTAATTTGTGAAGACAAGCCTTTGGTGAGGCTACAAAGTAGGCATTAAATATCAGTGATGCTGAATTACCCTGGCTGTATATATAGCTACACGTGTGTTATGAGGAGGTGGCTATTAGAGGTTTGCTGGACTGAAAAATGTCTCTTCATCCAAAGTACCTGCTCATCATTGATTGTAACTAGGTACCTCAAAAAGATAGAATTGTTCAATAGCTATATTCATACTTAAATGGCAAGGAGTGTTGTGCACCACACTGGATATGATGATTCTGTGTGGCTGGTGTCTGCATGGTCACGAGGTATTAAGCACTGGTTGAATTTAAATTGGGATTATTATTTTTAGTTTTCCCTTGTGGTTTAATAATGTACAGCTCCTTTTTTCGCCGTGTGGTTTTCGTGGTGTCAGAAGGTCTGCGTTCCTGTTTCCAGATTGGGCAGTATCCTGACAGAAGTGTGTCAGTGTGGTGTTAGTAGTTCTGGTGCTGCCTTTAATAACAGACAGGGATTGTAGAACCAGTCGTCTGGTCTTCACCTCTGCAATAGGATATTGTGATTTTCCTGAACAGGTGTATGAGAGTGTGCTTTAGTTTAACACATTTTAAAGAGGAGTTTCTGTAATTGATAAAATGTATCCCCAGAATATGTACAGCCAAAGGGTTGGTATTTTTTGGCTCCTTAAGGCCTCATATGATATGTATTGACCAAATAGAAGAAGTTACATCTTGATCACTAGATTTCATCAGAGACAGAATAGGTTATAATCTACATGTTGAGGGTTTATGTCCCCTGTCTTGTGGTCCAGATTTTCATTCTCTGGTATTTAAGTTATACATAGTTATTTTGTTACATTGGTGAAATGTTTTTGCAGTTAAGAGGAGAATTCAATTTACAAATAATGCAGAAGTGTACTGTGTATTCCTCAAATTCATTTTCCCTAGCCCTGAGTCCAGAATTAACAGCAAAGTATTCTTCAGGTTAAACAATGAAGTTGTTAGCTCTATTTCAGAAATTTAGTTCTAATTCTGAGTTAAAAACCTTTTTGCTTCTTTCTTCTTGTAACTACTAACTTATACAATCCCTATTTAGTCACTCCAGTTTTTCCTTCTAACTATCATCTTTTTTACTTCCACATGTTGCTTTACAGCTTATAGTTGACACTTGAATGGATTATCCCAGTAATTCTTTCCTTGGAGCAGGGAAATGTGAAATACTCTCTCATAGTAGATTACAGTGTATTTCTAATACAGAATGAGAGGAAAAATTCACTGAAATGGTGATTATTCTTTTGTCTGTTTGGTTGTGCTGGTAGGATGGGTGAGACTTTTGTTGGGGTCTTTTTGGGGTTGTTTTCAAGGAACAGGGATCTAGCTGTGTACTCACAGGTTTTCTGCAGGGCTGAAACTAAGGACAGAATTTAGGAGAGAATGAGAGTCCATGGCCACTCTAAACTTGGGTGGTCACAACAAGTAAGCTCCAAACACAGAAATGGAGTTTTTTGAATCTGATGGGACCCCCACTCTGTTAACATTACTTCTTGGAGCTATCTTAGAAGCATTTGAATGCTTCTGCCCTGTAGTCCTGAGTGGATTGTCAGAGCTGCTGGGTTTTATGATGCATTAGCTTGGAGAGATCCACACAGAAAGTGACGTGTCTATGTTCTGTATTACTTAGCTTAGGAAGTAAGAATTGAATTTTAATTATGTCTCACTTGTATTGGTGGGTTAAACATTTTGGTTTAAACCAATTTCCATTTATTTAAAAACAAGATCTTCAGTGATATTTAGTCCTAAAGATGATAATAGGAGAATTATTTGTTTGCTTTGACAGAACGACAGTCCATATCAGGGTGGTGTATTCTTCTTGACAATTCACTTTCCCACAGACTACCCATTCAAACCACCTAAGGTAAGTATTGCTGTGTCATTTGTGAAATTAGTGCTTTTTAAAGAACTGAGTACAGGACAGAAATTGCCAGCCTCTGTATTGTAGTATTGTCAAGTTCTCATTTCTTTTCAGGCATTCTTACCATCTATTAGATGTGTGGGTCCCATTCTGATTACCACAGGAATTGGGTGTGTTAGTATATTCTTTATGAGTAAATCCATATGTGCAAATTCCAAATGTCTTAAAATACTTGGGTTAATTTCTGGTTTTCTGAATTGATAGGAAAACTTCATTAGCTTTGTGTTACTATAATAGAGTTCTTGCTGAGGGGACTGTCAAGTATTAATGTAGCTGTTTGGATTGGTCTGTAGGAATGTGACACTGTGGGTAGGGATTTACTTGCTGAGTGCCTGAAGTCAATTGAAGGGGTTATTTGTTAAGTGTTTGGCAGTAATTGCAAAATACGCTCTTTTTTGGTAGCTTTATCAGCCACTAGCTTTGTCTTCCAATTTTCAGTCAATATGAAGGCCTACCCTTGGAGTCATGCAGTGCTGGAAGTTCCTTAGCTCTGTGACAGCAGTGTTACTGTTGTTTAGGCACTGCTGTTGGGTGTCTTCATCAAAGGCAGCTGGGATTAAAACACTCATACTTGCCCACTCTCTCTGTTGGAAGTAGTGCCTGGTAGTAGGAGACTCTGAGCTTGTGGCTTGGGTGCATTTCCCTGAATTTGATGCAGTTTAACTGCTTAATCCTTTTCTTTTAGAGTAAATGGAATTGACTGATAGCTTGACTGAGCAAACTGGGTGCAGTTATTGTCATAGACCCAAATGCACTCTTCATTTCTTTGTTTTTTTGTTGCAGGTTGCATTTACAACAAGAATCTATCATCCAAATATTAACAGTAATGGCAGCATTTGTCTTGATATTCTAAGATCACAGTGGTCTCCTGCTTTAACTATTTCTAAAGGTAACTTTTGTGGAGGAGAAATTTTTCCATCTTGTGCTGAATACTGTGCTTTTAGCTTTGATTGTGTTAAGTTCTTACCCATCTCTTTGATTTTCCCTTAACTTACCTTCCTCATTCAAGCTTATGTTTTGCCAGTTTGATGATACTGCATTTTAGTGGATTTTTTTTTCCTAACACTTTATCGTATTTGGCTGTTTAAGGCTTTGTTTGGCCATGTACTTGCTTCAGTATTCCTAGCAGAGTTTACCAGCTTGGGCCCAGAGGAATTTGCTGGTATTTGGATTGAACTAGGCCTGTGTTGGGGTGTTCAAGCTAAGGCTAAGAAACTGCTTGTTTGGAGCTGCCCATGTAGATACACATGCATATTAAATGAAAGATTAATTTCAAGTCAGTTTTTAATATTGAAATTTGCATAATTTTTCATCCTGCCTAGAGTTACATGCGTAGTTCTATTGGCATATCTGTGGTAGATGAATAAATCTGTTATTGATACTGCTTTCTACCACAGTGCACTGGCATTGCATTGCATTACTTAATGAACTAAGTTCACTGATCCTACTCCATGATAAATTGATGTTGTGTTGCAAGAGAAGATTTGTGGCTTTCCTCATTTTACTACATAAATAATAGATAATTCTCAAATATTTTCATGATGATCTAATTGTTTTGCCTCAAAGCCACTGGTCACTGTGGCTTCAAAAGATCCCTCAAAGTGCCGTTTTGTCTATAGAACTTGTAATTCCTGTCTGTCCAAACAGTCAGTTTGTTATTTGAATGTGGATTCCCTACATTTTAATGCTTCACTGTTTTCTTCTAAAGTTTCTCTGAGAGTAGATGATGAAGTCCTCATAGTTGCCTACAACAGTGTTACTGAGTTTTTACAACATATGTGTAGTTTTATCAGTGCAGACCAGGATATTCTTGCCTTATGTACAACAAATACAGAATTCAGTCTGATTTAAAAACTAAAAACTTAAATTTGAGGATTTTCTACTTTTAGTGATAAGAACCATGGATATGCTGTTCATCAGAGTACATAATGTGCTTTTGTTGGCTGCTATGTTACATCATAGTGCTGGGGACAACAGTGCTGTTCTCATGTGTGTACTGACAGCTGTAAGTATTGGGAAATAGGAAGCAAATAGTTCTTAGAAACCTTTAAGTTAGTCTGGGCTTTTTACTTAAGAATGAGTTATGAATTTATATTGGCTGTTTATCTGGAAAACACTTTCTAGGTTGTGTCCTGTGGCAACATTGTGCTAATGTAAAGATCAGTGCTCCATTGTTTCTGAGATTGCCATTCCTCTTTCGCTATTGAGATTGCTTTTTTTTTTTTACAGTTCTCTTATCCATTTGTTCACTGTTATGTGATCCAAATCCAGATGACCCACTAGTGCCAGAGATTGCACGTATCTATAAAACAGACAGAGACAAGTAAGTAGAGAATTGTGCAAGACTGGTGTTTTAACAGACTGTAAGAGTTCATTGTCAGACAGCAGTTGTGTTCATTGAGCCTTTTGTGTAGGTCTGAGATGGAGAAAACTTGTGTGTCAAAGAAGTGAGTAGCGCATAATTTAAAAACAAAGGAGCTTAGCATCTTTGAAGTTTATGGGTGAAAGAGACTTATCTTTTTCTTACGTGTGTGGAAGTATTTTACAGTATATATATTGCCTTTTTTTTTTTGCTTACCATGCATAAATCTAGTTAGAACTTCCTAGTGAGGAAAAGACAGCTTTTTGTTGTTTTCATATCTTCATTAGGCAGCAGCTTGGCCTTAAATTTTGGTTCTTCCCTTGAAAATGGGCAGCAGAACTTTCTTCCCCATCTGTGTTGTAGTAACTTTATTTTCCTTAGGTATCTTTAACATTTTGCACAGATAGAATTATATGAAGCAGATTTTGGGGGTTTTATATATATTAATGCTAAATATATTTATCCAATTAGGTACAATAGGTTAGCAAGAGAGTGGACAGAGAAATACGCTATGCTGTAGGGTAAGACTATTTGCAAATTATGGTGCATTTAACAAAATGGAAATTTGTCAGCACTTGGGTGCTGCATGCTCTAAGGCACTGGATTAACTAACAGATAACGGATGCACCAGTTACTGAACGTGGAAATTTAACAGCTTGATCTGTGGTTAGTGTGTAATGTATTGGCTAGTCATTATTTCTCACAGATACTACTCTTGCATGGTCAAAAAAAAAAGTTAGTATGATGTAATTACTGAGTTCTGAGCCATGTTGTCAGTTTGTTCTGGTAAGTATTTCACCCGGATTTTGTCAGAATTTGGTTCAAAGTGATGCCCTGTAGCAAGACCTCATATATCGACATGAGTGAATTCAGACAATCCAAATTTCAATTATCTTTAATCAGCTGTGTCTGTCTTCCACATATAAACTCGGAAATGTATGGGAATTATGATCTGCTTGTTATTAACTTCTTACTGACAAGCATGGAGTTAAGTGTTAACTAATTGTCATTTCAGTTCCTGTGGAAGTAGTGTACTTTAAATAGTCTTAAAATTTTGAACAGTATATTTGTGTGAAAAGAATATTCAGTGTAATGAAATGCTTAGTGTTGTTTTTCTTTAAAATTGGAAATTTGACATTTTGTATCCAGTGACATTATTAACCAAATAATCTTTACTTACGGCATGGGATACATAATGTAATCTTAAGCTAAGAACAATATTCAAATGAAATACTTGCCTTATTTATTCCATCCCAGATGGTCTCTGTTTCTTCTCTTTCAGTCATTTTTTTTCCGTAACAAGACTTGTAGCAAATTTGCTTGTCTTGACTTCAAGGCTTTTCCTAAAAACTAGAGAATATCTATCCTAATTGGTGTAGGGAGGGAATTGTTCTGTTTTTTGAGTTCAAGTATGTCTTGGTGCAGAAAGAGACTTCTCACAGTGTAAAGAGAACAGAGAGATGGGAATAAAATAATTCAATCATAAACTGTTTGGGAAATTGTCATTTTCATGCTGATGTTAATTCAGTTCCTGGTTTTGTCTGCAGGTACAACAGAATATCTCGGGAATGGACTCAGAAGTATGCCATGTGATGCTACCTTAAAGTCAGAATAACCTGCATTATAGCTGGAATAAACTTTAAATTACTGTTCCTTTTTTGATTTTCTTATCCGGCTGCTCCCCTATCAGACCTCATCTTTTTTATTTTTTTGTTTACCTCCTTCCATTCATGCACATGCTCATCTGAGAAGACTTTAGTTCTTCCAGCTTTGGACAATAACTGCTTTTAGAATCTGTAAAGTAGTTACACAAGAACAATTGCCCAAGATTCAGAATTTTTTTTAATGGAGCATGTGTATTATGTGGCCAATGTCTTCATTCTAACTTGGTTATGAGATCAAAAACTAAATAAACATTCCTCACTGCTCTAACAGATACTGAAGATACCACCAGAAGGGGGGAGGGGAGATGGATGTTCAGTTTTCTCCCATCAAAGAAGTAACATTGCTGTAGCAACATCCATCTTGTTCCAAACCTTCCAGTGTTAGAGAACTGAGGTTTTATTATATATTTTTGCTCATAACTCATGTGTCTGGAGAATTGGTACTGAATCTATAGCATCAGCAGAACAGAAAATGTGATGTATCTTATGCATGTCAATAAAGGAATGACCAGTTCTTGTTTTACAGAGAATGGAAATTGGAAGTCAAACATCCCTTGTATTCCAGAATAGGGTTTAAGAACATTTTTGTAATTCATTTAAATTTTGTTAGGAGGCTTGGAGCTATTAGTTAATCTGTCTTCCAAAACACTGTTTAATATAGCACTGAATAAATGATGCAAGTTGTCAGTGGATGAGTGATCAACTAATAGCTCTACTAGTAATTGATTTATTTTCTTCAATAAAGTTGCATAAACCAATGAGTTAGCTGCCTGGATTAATCAATATGGGAAACAAAATCTTTTGTAAAAGCAAAGCTGGTTTTTGTATATACTGTTGGCATTTGCCTCGTTGTTTAACATCAAATAATGATGTAAAGTTCAATAGAGTGACTCTTCTGCCATTTTCAGTTCTAATGCTCAGTCTGTTGCAGGTTGGCACATTGCTCGGCCTGGTGGATGCAGAATTAATAAGCTAACATAGTCGTGTAGCCGTAGTAGGGGGCTGCACTTGGTGCTGGGAGCCCAGCGTTCAAGAATGGACTTGGGACCCAGCAGATCTGAAGTGGTGTATTGTGGAGATACTTCCTGATGCACCTGTGTTTGCTGACTGAGAACCTTTTTCTTCAACTTGTACACTTGACAACTGAAAGATCTTAATGTGGGGGTAATGATGAGGCAAAAAAATTATAAAATAAAGTACTGTTTTGATGTGGGAATTGTCATGAGGCTGTGTTGAAGTGACTTTACTATGTGGGATGTTCGTTACCATTGAAAAGGACTTGTTCAGCCATGCTGCCATTTACATTGATGACTATTTTAATGCAACAGACACTTTCTTCATGTCAGGTGACTAAACGTGAATAAAGACTCATTGCTATTGGATTTTTGTTCTACAAGAAACATTGTCTTGTGCCATTAGTTTATCTTTCAGCAACAAGGGCATTATTAAACATCTGACTCTTTCCTCCCCTCTTCCTTCATATTTTTCCTTGTTTAATTTTTTTGGTCTCCATTCTTAACATCCATAGCTTCATTTTCTCTAGTCTTGTACTATCACTTTATTGTGCATCTGTGACTTCTCACTGGCACCACTTTTGCACTGCTTATAGTTATGTACATTCTGATTCCTTGTCCCCACATGGATGTGGAAAGCTAGATGTAAAATAAATGTTAAACCTTAATTTTTATAAAAATTTGAACATGTAGTTTGGACATGGTTTGTTCTGGTTCTAAACTGTGAGAGTGAACTTGAAATGTTCAAGTTCAGTTGGCTTGGAATTTAGAAACCTGGGCTCTCTTTAGCAGTACGTGCTTCAATGATGACTTTCTGAAATCTCTTGGTGAAGTTGCAGTTCACGTCTGCTAACCAGCTTACATAATTTTGCTGGAAAATTGGAATACAGATGCCAGTAGCATTACAACGGAGTTAAAAGTTTATATTTTAAGCTTAAAAATGTGCTGGTCTCAATTTTTTTTTTTATGCTTAGCTTAATTTGATGCTTATTACTTTGTCCTGGGAGTCACAGCCACTGAAATCACTTATATGATCAACTAGGAAGATGTTTTGTGAGGTGTAAGGCAGCGGGTGTTAGAGAACACAAGGAGGTGTGCATTATGAAGGGTCAGGGAAGAAGAAAATACTAAAAGATTACATGGAAGATGGAAGTCTTGTTTGGACCAGTACCTGTTTATTTTTTGCATCTGTCATGTTCCCAAGGTAATAATTTTTAGTAATTAACAAATGTATACTTTGATGAAAGAATAAGGGTGGATTGTAGAAGTTCTAGATGTATGCTGAAGGTCCAAAGTGGGAAATGGGAGGTGTTTTGTCCTTAAAGCAGACTCAGTCCTGTCTGGTGCAGGCTTCTTGTACAAAAGTTACATTTGGGCTTCCTCTTCAAGCAGGGGGGCAAGGGGAGGAGCTGGTAGACAGGAGCTAATACGGACATGGTGAGGAAGAATTCTAAGACTTAGCAAAAAAAAAAGCTTAATTGGTGATTGCCTCAGTGAGTACCTACCAAAACCACAGGTAGTCTAAAAACTACACAGTGGATCTTGGTTCCTTTGAAACATGGGGAGGGTGGAAAATTTTCCATTTGAACTTAATGTAAAAAGTGAAGGGTTTGGAAATGTGACTTTTCCTTTCTGCTGTGGTAGAGTTTTTTTGTCACGATAAATGCTGTAATAGCTTCAGTGGGGTCAGCTTCATGCTAGAGAATTTGGATTAAACTAAATCTATTTCAAAGACTTTTCAGAGCAAGTATAGAGAACAAAATGTCAAGCCAAGACATATAACAGGGAAAGAAACTACAGTGTTCTTTCTGCAGTAATTTTTTAAAGACTGCTTGCTGTGTTGAATTGGGGTTTGAGTTTAACAATGCAATCGCAATCAGTTTTTTACGTTTCACTTGGAAAAAACTTTTGAGTGGTTTTAAGCACCAAAAAATCTTTTCAGGATGCAGGAAAAACTTGATCTGTAGCATTGGCTAGGGATTTTTCTGGTCTTTCTGTCTTCTGATGCACACAGCATCTGTATTTCTTACAAAATGAATATACACACGTTTTTGCATGCTTGAGTAAAAACGTTCTACTCAGTTGCACTGTGCCATAGTTTTATATGAAGATAACAGATGCTAACTTTTTCTGAAAAACCTGGTTTTAAACAGACCATAGCAGCAAGCTTTGGTTGCTGTGGAGGCATGGAACTAAATTCCGGCAAGTGATTAAAAGACAACCAGTTAGTAGATGGATATTCAGATGTACGGAATATGTACCGGTCCTGTTAGATTGGATAGTTGTTTATGCAGAAGTTTGCATTAACCAGCAGGTAACATGAGGGTTTAAATACAACCAGAAATGTTCTAAATAACTCCATTGTATTATTTTTTGCTGCCCCCCCCCCCTTCAATTTTTCTCTCTAGTAATTTTATTTCAAAATCTTCATTGCTTTAAAAAATAGTGTTTTAACAGGCATTATCATATGAAGCAGATACCTTGGGTCCATCAAATTGCTGGTGATTCAGAAGTCTTCAGTCTGCATATCCCTAGTAAAGCTTACAGCATAGTTGGAATTAAACTGAAGATTTCTTGCTGTGTTTATAGCTGTCAAAAAAAAAAAAAAAAAAAAAAAAAAAAAAAAAAAAAAAAAACCAAACCATTAAGGTAGTTGTTTTTCCCTGATTTGTTTATAGTTTCATACATGAAAATGAGACTAAGACAAAACCCTCTTTAGTTAAATTAAAGAAATTAGCACTAGAAGAATGGAATGAGATAATGCATGATCAATAAAGGATCTTAAGGTATGAAGGTTATTTTACTAGAACACAGACTACACTAATTCCTTCAAATGTGGGGAAAAAAAAAAAAGTACTGATTGGATTTATCTGCTTTCTGGTCTTTGGTTCTTGGTGTCATTGAATGGATGGTATTTTCCCCCTGCACCTTCAATACAAATATAATGTAGGTAGAAATTGAAGAACAGTTGGATTCATATTATTATAGGCAATTGCATATTTTAGAAAGCAGATTGAGTTGTGGCTAAAATACTTCATGTATAAGGCTGGGGGCTTGTATTTTGGCAACAGTGCAGGACTAATGCAGAGAATGCATGGGAACACAGGAAAAAAACTGCATAAATATATCAAGGAGAGGTACAGAAGGTAAAGGTAAAAGCTGCCTGTATTACTGTGAAGTGAAAATGGGCTGCTGTCAATTAATGCATTCTAGTACAAAAGCAGCTGGTTTCAAAATAATCTGGAATATGATAGTTGATAAATTATAATTTTAAGTGTCTATTTTAGTCTGACAAAGAATAGCAATTCAGAATAACCCTCAACTGGAAAACCAGAGTGCAGACAGACAAGCTCTTCCAGGTGTGTGTAGTGTAGAACAGTTCCTAAATTGATGTTTGTGATGGTTTAGCTGATGCCTGTAAACTGACTTTGCATTCTTGGTTAATGCAGCAGTAAATTCTGCAGTAACTTTGGTCTGCAGTGCATTTAGCACTCAGTCTTCTGCAGGGATAGTTCAAAGCTGTCAGTGTCTTTTTTCTGTACTGCAGTGGTTGGTTTAATGTCAACCAGTTGTGGGGGAAGAGTTCAGTAGCTTCCAGATAAGCAGGAGTAAGAGCTGTAACTATTTCGAGAGCATCTGTGTGCCTTGGGTAGGTTAGAAGAGGTGGCAGGCATAATCTTCACAGTGATAGGTGCCAGAAGTGAAACAGTGAATTTGATAGTATAGCTGTGTAGAGTAATACTTGAAAATTTCTCTGGTAAACAAAGAAAAAAAAGGATTAACATCCTTGTTTGCCCAAAATAGATTTTGTTTGTTTGGGATATTTTTGCCTATGCATTAGAAGTATTGGTGAGACTTTCAGTATCTTTGAACAGTGAAGGATTTTAATTCATGATGGGACAAACCTTTATCAGGACACACAGTTGAACAGAATATATTGGTTTTTGACAGCTTTTAATACTCATCTTTGACCTCTGGGGTTGTTCCTGTGCTCTGGAAGGGTAGGCTCCTCCCTTTAAACGGCTTCTGCTGAGATTGGTTCCTTCTTCAGGAACTTGAAGCAGAAACACTCTCAAGCTCTGAGTACTTAGGAGTCCTAGGTTTGGCAGATTAGGTAATTCTGGTTTTTGCCTAAACTTCATTAATTTTCATATGAACTGTGCATTGTCCCATCACAGAATTAACCTGCAGAGTAAGAACAGTTGCTTAGAAGATGGTGATACAAGGTTATCCTCATGGGTGGGATGCTAGCTGTAGAGCTGGGCAGCTGGCTTTGCTCCAGCTGCTTTGGCAGACCAGGGTTGTGGAGACAGAATTTCAAAATAGTTTTATCAGGGATGGGAATTCTGACTCAAGTTTAGGCTCAGATGTGATCTCATGTTTCATTAGAGGGAATGCAAAAATTAAGCTGTCCACCTGTGTTTTGAAGAGCTGCCTAAGAGGTGATCTCTTAGAAAGCATTGGTAGACACTGAGTATGGTAGTTTCATGTATGCTGAGGAGAAGAGAAGCTGGGCTTGTTAGTAAGTCAAGCCTGTTTTGTTTTTTTTCCTCTCTGGCCAGGTAAGCCTCAGCACTTCTTATCTTACAGTCTTTGATGCAAGTCAAAAATGAAACTGTTCAGTCATGAGTCATGGGTGGGGGGGGGAAAGTGTTGGTTCTATTTGTTTTGGTTTTGTTTTGTGGGGTTATTTGAGTTCTCTAGAGAATGTTCTGGAACAGAACTTTCTACTAAATGTGCAGCTCTAATCCTTTTGAGATCTAAAGGAGGAACTGCAATTTGCAACCTTACATAGAGAACTTAATGTGAGTCTATAATCCCTTCTTCCTGGCAAAGATCACTGTTCAGTGTGAAGCTGTTAATTCTCTGGGGAAGGATACTCTTGCTAAAACAAGCTTTGCAGATTACTTGTCATAGTGTTAATTCTGCTCTGACAGTAAATGCTGAAAATTAATTCACAGATACCTCAGTAATTGAAGGATCTATTAGATACAACCTTTTTAAAAATTCTTTTTCCTATTGAAAGGTTTGGAATGCTTTTGTTGGAGTAAAAGGTCCAGATCTCTTCATAAGGTTCTAGATTTTGTGTCTCTACTCAGAACAACATTGAGGAGAGGATCACTCTTAGTGACTGTAGGAGTTCTCAGGTAACAAACTTAGTGGAATAGGGCAGTGATATTTTTCTAGAATGGTTTAGTGCTGGCTGAAGAATTGAATTTAGTATTTGGGACTGGTGGTGTTCAGTCTCTGTGAAGAGCTAAAGTACTGCACCTCTCAAGCATGTCTGTCCGGTCTAAGCTCAGGAACAAGCTGCTAGAGCACAAGTGCAGATGATGAGTCTAACCAGCATTAAGAGGTAGAACTTTCTTGTGAAAACGAATCATGACCCCCTGGTTTTATTGGCTGGTTGTACTAACTGCTCTGTTTTTACAGTTTGAGTTGTATTTCATGAGGATATCTCTTAAGTTCGTGTTTACAGTGTGATTTATGTTTCCTGAGAATCCGTTCAAAATTCACTGAAAGCAACACTTTAAGGTATCATCCCACAATGACAAGCAATTCAATTAGAGAGGAGGTAGGTAGATGGCTTCTACTTAACTTAGCTCTTTTTGTCCTCTCCTACTTCATATGTGCTGCACTTCACACTCAGAATTACCATTTGGTGCAAAGGATGTGAATTTTCATAGCCTTAACTATTTTTTTATAAACTGAGAAAGAAGTAAAAAAGCATTCTTTTTGGCTTAACTATAAATGATATGAGAAAAGCTTTGAAAAAATGCAAGTAACCCTGAATCATATTTTTGCTCATAATATTCTTTCCAATACTGCTAAGACTGATGTAGAAAAATGTTTCAAATTTTCAGAGTGGAAACATGAAAAGACAGGTTTGTGGAGAAGCATTGAGCAGTTACCTTGAAATTTTTGGATGCAAAATTTAACTTGAAACAGCCTTTTCCCCCCACTTTTTTTGTTTAATGTGACTGGCATCTTAATATCTTAAGCATGCATTATGCTGTGCTTTATGAAGGGTGGGAGGGGAGAAAAAAAGGAAGGTGAGAAGTTGCCCTTTGCTGTTCAACTGAAGTTGGTTCCCAGGGCAGGAGACCAGATCCAGAAATAGGTTGTAGTTGACCAGTCAGCCCTCCTACACTAAGAAACTTCCTTAGGTTTTTATGTTACGTGAGTACAGGTAAAACAAAGGTCATGTATATATTAAGATTAGGAGTCTGGAGTGCAGATATACAGAGACAGAGTGAAGGGTGAAAGCTCAATGTTGTAAGCCTCAGTGAGGTTCTAAAAAGAAGTTCCCATGAAGCATATGCTGATACATACATCATGAATAATTTAGGGTGTGGACAGAGGAGAGGGCAGCCAGCTGTACTTTGTGAGCCAGCTGTAGCAAACTGATAAGCTCTTCTCGGAGTTCTGCTAGGAGGAAGTAGCAGTAATAGTTGGTGGTTACAAGATTATGGGTCATTGCTGGGAAGCTGGAAGGATAAACAGTGGATCAGCACGCTTGGTAATGAGAGAGCACAACAAAAGAGGTCTTGAAAAGCCTCCAAGTTCAAGCTACCACCAAGATGTTCACTAAACAATGAGTGACTTTCTTATGTCAGCATTAAGCTGTCCTCTGCTAACTGTGAGAGCAGGAGGTGGCAGGGGAAGCTTAGCTGTACCCTTCTGTCCTCCAAATAAATCTTCATGTGTCTGACCAGGTATGGAGGACTCCAAAGGGATTAATATGGAAAAATTGTTACTTGTCCACTTGCTAGGCATATTGAAGTACTTCATTAGACTGAATTTCCTAAAATATATTTTAAAAATAGTTTTAAGTATCTTTTTGGTGTGATTGAAATTCCTCAGGGCATTTCCAGGCCTTTAAAACTCTATTTCTCAATATGATCCCTGTTGCTAAACTGTACTGAAAATATGCTGAGAGAATCAACATAATAGAACCTTTATTGACAGATAAGTACTCAAGATAATTTTGCATCTTGAACCTTCTATGTGCTTAATAACATTCTGGAGTCATAATAGCTTCCTGTGACGAAGAAACCCTTTCCTCAGAAAGCCATACCTTTGGAAATGATTGTTTGCTGAATGCTGTTTATTTTGCTTATATGTAAAAAGTGCCAAAAGCTTAGGTGGCTGTTCACTCTTCAACACACTAATTAAAACTTTAAATACCTTTAGAATACTGTGGCACTTCTGTGAAATGTTCTGTTGACATCAAAATGTATGCTGAGTGTTTAATACAAGGTTTAATTGAAGTAATATTGCATCTTTTGTCCTTTCATTAGATCTATACTAGTTCAGACTAGCTGAAGATCTTTGCTCTTGCTGAAACAATCTGGGAGGAGATTGATTCCAGGCAGTGATGTCTTGCGGTTTTTAGAACCTCTCCATGGGCTGTTATTGCCTTTGTGCTTATCTATAGTCCTCATGGTGAGAAGAGTTCTTCCATGGAACAGTGACATTTGTAGCAGCAATCAAAGGCATAGGGACTAATTTGAGCACCAGATTATTTGGATCCACTGTGCTGAGAATTTGGCTGTAAACAAAATGTGTGTGAGTAGTATTTTAGCATGGCCACTCCTTGAAGGGGTCCTTCTCTCACCAAGGACTTAGCTGAAGAGACAAGGTTCTTTTCACATCCCTAAGGCTCTTTTTTAAATGTTTCTAGCCATACAACTACTGCCCGCCTTTCCTTCTTCCTGTGCAAATATCAGAATGTTAAAATTCTGACTAGTACCAAAACAAGAGATCTAGTCAGACAGTGTGAGAGGACACAAGGAACTGGAATGAAGGTGTGTCAGGGAAGTTCAGGTTGGACATTAAGGAAAGGTTCTTTGCTGAGAGGGTGGTTGGTCACTGGAACAGGCTTCCCTGGAAAATGGTCACAACAACAAGCCTGACAGAGTTCCTGAATGAGTTCAAAAAACATGTAGATGTTACTTTCAGTCATATGGTTTAGTTTTATTCAGTCCTTCAAGGAAAAGGGAGTTCGACTTTTGATGATCCTTATGAGTCCTTTCCAATTTGAGATATTCTCTGATCCTTCCAGTACTCTTTTTGTATACTGCAGTAGTCCTTTCCTTTTTGTTGCCATGAGAATCAAGCACATAATGCTTTTTTTTTAACAGAAGGATGTATATATAAAGTAGTATTTTTAGTGCTGTTTATGTATGAAGTCATTTGGAAAAAAAAAATAGAGCCCATATTAAAGTATGCCTGTTTCATGAATGTGCAAGAGACAGTTTCTGTAAATGTTACTCCTGAGACATTTGTATCCAGTGCAGTGATAGGACATGTAGCTTCCTGGACTGCATGAGGATGAAGCTCTGTTACGTACAAGGGTTTTCACTGGAATAATTCAGGCAAGTGGATATTTTTGCCTGTGTAGCCATGCTCTTGGCCTATGCTGTTGTCTAAGTGGGGCTTGAGTTGATTCAGTGAGAACTTTGTTGATTAGGAATTCTGGAAATTCTTACAGGTGATGAAATAAACATTAATCTTTCAAGAGGAAAAAAAAAAAAAAAGTGTCTCTTGAGTACCCACAGTTTTCAGTGAAGTTATTTTGAATATTCTCTGGTTCTTGCATTAGAGTCATTTTGGTAGAAATAAAGGGACAGTTTGACCTAGGGCTGAAGCCAGGAGCATTAGCCACACTGAACGTCTGAGAAACAGAGGTCCTGACCTGCCCCAGTGGTTTGTTTGGAGTCACTTAAGTTAGAAAAAGAAATGAAGCTCCCAGCTGTTTCAGCACCTCCAAATCCATTTGCATTTACTCATCCAATTTATCAGCTACAAACCTTTGTTGACATTCTCTTAATACTCACCTGCACAGAAAACATTCATTAGAACAGTAGGCTGGATGTGTGCTTCATATGTAGTGTGATCTATCTGGTATGTCCTGCTCTCAGCTGGTGAAGTGCCATGCACATGGGCTCAGTGAAGCCTCTCAAACTTCCATCATGGGGGAAAGTTTGCTACCTACAGATGCCCACATGTTGAGGGATTTCATTTTAGGCATTCAGGGACAAGTTGTACATTGTACTGTGGTCACAGATGACTGTCTAGTTTTAAGTCTCTAAGAAAGGCTAAGCAACCTGTTTCATAATGTCTGCATTTGTGCTACTTATTTTCTGTAAGTGCCAGAGGATCTGTATGTTTTAAGTAAGTTTTAATGAGAATTGAAGGGGAGCTTGGACAGCACTGTACAAGACACTGATTTTGCTGCTTATGAAACAAAGGGTAAATGGCAATAATCAGTGATACATAATTTTATAAATAGATTAGGATTGATTCAAAATTATTTATAAAATGAAGAGAATAAAAGCTGTGGGAATTCCACCTTCTAAATAACATGACTTTAGAAATCTGGCCATGCTGGCTTTGAAGATCCTTAGGCTTTTTTGGGTCTGTTCTGTGGAAGATGGTGACCTGACACCTAAATCTGGTTTAAGTGCATCTCAAAGCAAGATGTTATGTAGAGGTATAAATACAGGCTTTTGCCCCAGCATGCCTGATGAAGTTGAAGGTTATACTGAAGGCATCACCT